GTGGAACATAAGGAATAGCATGGAGGACATTAGGAGAAGGAAGGGAAAACTGAAGGGGGGGAAATTGGAGGGAGAGATGTACCATGAGAGACTATGGACTCTGAGAAACAAACTGAGGGTTTTAGAGGGGAGGGGGGGTGGGGGGATGGATTAGCCTGGTGACGGCTATTAAGGATGGCATGTACTGCATGGAGCACTAGGTGTTATACGAAAACAATGAATTGTGGATCACTACATCAAAAACTAATGATGTACTGTATGGTGACTAACATAACATAATAAAATAAAATTTAAAAAAAAGTTTCAGTTTTCAGGTCTAAAGCACTATAATAAACAGACCTTCTGGTTATGTAGTATAAAACAGTACATCTTTATAATTCTAGGTTGTTCATAAAGACTTCTAGGACCTCAAGTTGTTAAGTAAATGGGAAAAGTTGTATTCTTCGGCATTTTTCTTTTATCGTGCCTTTTTTTTTTTTTTACTAATTTAGTTAATCCCATATTAGTAAGTAAATATACTAAGTTCCCCATTATACTGTAATTTCACTCTCGCATGCAAATACTCCTTTTAGATAACAAAACAGTATTTTCTTATAGAAGTAAGACCTAATGTACACTTCACTCATGAATTATTTTGTGATCAGAGTAGCCAGAAGAAATATCTCCCACATATGAACTTATAACTTTTATCCCTTACCATCTTGTATCTTAATTGTACACAGATGTGTCTTCCACTCAAACTCTGAAAGCATCAATGGTGCCCAGTAGAATGTTTTAGACAGTAATAGGTACTTGATAAATATTTGCCAAATAAATTATTCTTTCGATGATTATTAATGGAAAAGAAGTTAGTAGAACATGAAAGAAGTAAGAGTGGATGAATATACATATATGATAATGAAAAATGTCTTGGCTATGTTTCACTAGATAAATGTATTTTTTAGAAAATTCACCTTAGAGTTGTCTTAATTTTCTTTTATTTAAAAAAAGATTTTATTTATTTATTTGTCAGAGAGAGAGCGAGAGAGCGAAAGGGCACAAGCAAGGGGAAGGGCAGAGGGAGAAGCAGGCTCTTTGCCGAGCAAGGAACTCGATGCGGGACTCAATCCCAGGATCCTGGGATCATGACCTAAGCTGAAGGCAGACACTTAATTGACTGAGCCACCCAGGCATCCCGTTTTAACTTTCTTAGATCACTCCTCTGCTCGTTATTAAGATGTAGAAAGAAATCACCCCTTAGTGGTGAATATGTTGAAGCTGTCCACTCGATACAGGATGCCAATCTTTCAACAGATGTGGTTCCTGAAGTCAAGCATAATTCTGCCAATCTTTTCCAACAATAAGAGCTTAGGAAAAGCAGATAAAGTGCTCTCTTAGCATAGGAGAAGAGCAACACAAATTAGAGTACAGATAACAATGTTAACAGACTGAAAAAAAAAAGTTCTTGTTTTTCATTACACTAATTTTAACAATCTAGGGCAAAGAAATCACAGTGCTTACCATAAACCGAATTCACTCAAAAACAAAGTTTATATGTAAAAATAAACCCAAATAATAAAAGAGAAATGTTTAGCATTACTATTCCAAGTTGTAAAAGCCAAGAAAAAGGAAAAAGAGGATGGAGTTAATGGAACCCACAGGCTACTGATGTGGCAGTTTATCAAATGTAGCTGTAATGAAAGATAAATAATACAGGCAATTCACACTTCATGAAAGGATAAAAGTGTCGGTGTGTAGGTACCAGTTTTACTGCAGGGCATAATCAGCAAGTAAACGAAAGTGCAATGTCTAAAAAGTTTATAGCCTTCTATGAAGGCCTCATCTTGTCAGGTATTGATTTAGGTATTCAGACGACTTCACTGGTATTAAACAAATTGAGTGTTTGTGAACTTAGAGGACACGTTCTATTTCTCCCAACAGAAGTTGCCTCAAGCTTAATGTTAAGTTGTTTCCATCACTTAAATTTAAGGAAAGGGAAGAAAATGCTGAGATGATATCTTACACAATTATTTTCTTCTTAAATAGAGGGCAATCCAAAGTGAATGTTTCATACTCTCCACCTTCTCCACAAACATGGACTCCATACTTCTTAGAAAGCTGGAAGAGAACAACAACAACAACAACAAAACAGGAAACTTAAAATTAGACAGCAAAAATGCTCACTTAACTAATATTGTTTTTTCCTAAAAAAATCCATGCAAGAAACTTTAATTCCAAAATAGATCACAAGCTACAGGAAAATAACTTTATATTTCTACTTAAAACGTGTTTAAAGCCATTTGAAAAATGTTATCATTAAAGCACAGGAGTTTTATTAATCCCAAAATCCTTATAAAAAGATGTAAAGGGCCAACATTTTATGTGTAACAAGAAAACTAAGAGATTACCATAAATTTTAGGAATGACACTAGCTTTAGATTCAAAGAAGGCTAAGGAGAAAAGGTACTTAGTCATGAGGTAGTAAATGAGACTGCATGTGGTCGAACTGGGCTTCCCCCCTGCCCTTTGACCTATTTGTGAATGGGGAGAAAAATAGGTTGTGTTTAGAGCATTTCTTGGAGACTCAGAGAAAGCAATCTAAGGCCTCTCCTTTGACCTGTGAACAAAAGGGAGTCAACAAACATGGTTATTATGCTTGAGGTTATTAGTGGTGAAGTTCCAAAGGTACTGAGAACTGATGAAGTTCCAAAGCTGTAGACAAGCCTTAGGAACGTCTAACTCCAAGAAAGGTTGGGATAGCTTATCATGTTGTCTAATTAAACCTGAAATTAAAAAAACAAGCAAGCAAAGAAACAACAAACAGCCTGCAATTTGCATTAAATATAAGCTATATTATTTAAATAATCCTGAGACTGAGAGTAAAATAATTTCCCATTCAGCTGGTATATGGCTGGAATCAGTGCCAGGGAACACTCTCACTGATGGTGTCAGAGAAGCTTCCTGTTCTTGTGTTGAGGCTTTATTACTATGTTCCATCTCCTTCACTCTGAATTTCTTAGCTTTCTCTACTTATAGCCTCTCCTAGTCCAAAGTCCTCATTGCCCAAAGGAAGAGTGACTCCATGGATGTTCACTGTGCTGGCACTATGGCCTAAGTCTTCAGGTTTATATCGTTACGCATTTATTTCTCTGGTTATTTTTGTGGTTGTGCTATAATTCTGAATCCATTACATTTAAACTCTTGACTATGTGCCCTTAGGGACTTTAAGCATGGATCTGTGAGAATTCTACTGCTCTTTTCAAGGATCAGCAGTAATGTGAATAACACTGTAAAGCTAAACAGTAAGAAAAGTGAGGGAAAGAAAGCTGGGTGGCATTTTCTATATGAGTTCCCAAGAGCAAAGCAGAAATTTTCACCATCTTGAGTCATGAAGTACAGAAGTGGCAAGACAGAATTATGGCAGCTGGTCCTTATGGGAGCAGATAACAGGAACAGATTACTTTACCATATTAAATCAAATTAAATTAATATCTGCTCTGCAATGAAAATGTAGAAATAATAACAGGATATGGGTTTCAGGGATGTTTCCTCATTCTGCTAGCTAGGGTTTGTCCTCTTTTTTGATGATATCCTTTTCACTGGTCTTCCCATTCCAGCAACCTTCCACCAAATGAACCTTCTGATCTCACCTTTATGGTCAGTCTTTTTATGAGGGAGTATACCTTATCAGTTATTAGCTTCCTTTCATTGGAAAATTTTTTACTTAAGGTTTCCATAATTTCTATAATCTACCACCAAAGAATAACTTGATTTTTAAATTAAAGTTGGCATGGCTGTTATCCTACTGAAGTAGTTCTATTAGTCTCTAGTAAAAATAATTTAAGCTGCTATGTTAAACCAACATATTATCATTATAAAAAGACTGCCAGTACTGGGAAATCTAAAATTTGTATGTATCCAGTGATATTTTCAGTTCACAAAAAATATTTCCATAATATTAATTCATATCACTTCTTCAACCAGTATTTATTGAACGATGATTATTAGGCAGGTCGTGTGAGATGAGGAAGATCCGAAGTAAACGAGACAACATCCCTGGTCTTTTGAAGGTTATCAAATATACTACACCCTATATTTCAACAACGCAAGATAATGAAACAGTGATGTAGTGTCTATAAATAACACACACAATCTCTTCTCCCTTTCTATTACTGATTCATCAGCATGAACACAGATTCTAGGCCAAGAAATCTGAATAAAGAGCTCAGTGGTTTCTATAGCAGATGAACCAAGAAGTCGTCTGAGTATGATGTCTTTTGCAGGCACTCCAAACTCTACTAGCATCAAGCTCTAATAGACATAAGTCCTCAGAGAAAAATCCATCTTTATTGGCTTACTTTCAGCCAGCTTCAAGACCCTTTGATATTCTGAGAAAAGCTTCTGAAGAAGTGAAGTCCACGCTAGTCAACCACTTTCTGTAACGAATCTTGTGCTAAAACACAGCATTCTCTTAGAAATCGACATCCTTGTAGCACAAAACTATGATGTATGCCCATTATAGAAAGGGTCAGTTTAGGGAAGTGGAGAATCCAGACATGCACATTCCGGAAACATGTCTGTGGTACAAAATATTCAATTTAGTTTTCTAAAGCCTGTTAAGTCTGTGTTCCAATACTGGAACAGAACGTTGCAACTTTATTCCTAACATGTCTCCGGTCTGTGGTTTCAACTCAATATTGCCATTATTGCATGCTAACACTTGATCATTCCAAATACGGTTTTGCAATTCCCTTTGATAAGTTTCTCTATCAGTCTTACTGTCATTGAAAATGCTAAATAGGTAACAGTTTTTCTAAAGTTTGGTTTCTCACTGAATCATCATGATTCTTTCCATAATTTAAGTACATAAAATAGCAATCTTTATTGAAAAGTAAAAAATAAATATTTTCATATTGCCTATTTCTTCACTAAGGCCCAATATTCATTAATGATTAAAATATATTTAACAGTTTCAGTTAGTATGTAAAAAGTCGAAGTAGACAGTTATTCTCACCGTAACAGCAAACGTATGCCAGACAGGTTACAAAATCATGCTTTTTTGTTTTACATACAGAGAGCTGAGAATGTAAAGAAATCTGGATGAACTAAATTCCAGATCAGGGTGAGCCTTTCATAGGTGAGTAAAGATCAATAGCCACCTTCCTAATGGGCAAACAGTATTCTTCCACAGATGAGGGACTTTTATCAGTGTGTGTAGAAAGCAGCCAAACACATGACCATCTGTGGACTCCTGTGATGGCTTGTTAGAGTCTGGAGGAGACCCGGGGAGTCTGTATAGCCTGCCAATTCTTTCCCATAGCTTTCCAATTCTTTCCCAAAGGCCTTAACCAAGTGCACACAGTGGCTACATGCAGAAGGCCAGGGCCAGGACAGAAGAGGAGAGAGATTCCTTTGGAAACATCTGCTCCTTGAGTCTTTTCTATTGAGCTTTCACTGTGCCAAAGGCTGGAGACAGGGCAGGAAAACTAAGATTTTTTTCCAAGGCTTGGAAGGTCAGGAAGAAGGTAAGGAGAGGCTCAGCGCAATAAACCTGTGAAAAGGCACAAAACACTGGTGGCAGGACAGTAAAGCAGGGGAGGAGAGGGAGGGAGGAAAGATAGGGGAGAGGAAAGGGGATGAGAGGGGTGAAAAGGGGAGGGGAAGAAAAGGAGAGACAGAGACAGAGATATCTAGACTCACTGAAGCATAGACCACAAGCCCTGATAAATGAAGAGACCTGATTACTACTCTTAAAGCATTTGAAACAAGTAGTAAACTGAAACAAAATGCAACTCAGATCAGAACCAGCTCAACTGTAGATTAAACAGAATAAACACCCCAGACTAGCTGTCAGACAGAGGAAGGGATGTGGCTTTTGGGGGGTAAATATTATTTACTTTAGTCTCTACTGTTCTTTTTTATTCAGTATCTACCACAAAATATGTAAAAAAAAATAAGAGATGTCAAAAAGTGAAAACTGTGACCTATAATCAATAGAAAAACAAACAGAAAAACAGAAACAGACCCAACATTAATCAAATACCGGACTCAGTAGGCAAAGACTATAATGTAACTATTGTAAATATGTTAAAGGATTTCATGAAAAAGATAGATGAAATTCATGAACAGAGAGTAGTTTCAGCAAAGATGGAAACCAGGTTCATATCTAGGTTCATATCCTGGCTCCAACACTTATTAGGCATAGGACCTGGGATCAATTACTTAACTTCTCTGAATTTCTGTTTTCCTAGGTAATACCTACCCTTATTAAGGGCATGTTGTGACTGTTAAAACAGATAAATGATACATGCAAAGCTTTTAACTCAGTCCCTAATGCACAGGAAACATTTAATACATGGTATTTTTTTCTTTATTAGATTAATTTGTCCTTCCCTTGGGCCTTCTGCTCCTTTATCTATATATTCCCTTCTTTGAGGATCATGACCACTACTGTATCTATTACTTCTATGCAAATGGTTCTCAAGGCAAAAACCCTAGCCACTCATTTCTCTCTCATATGTTAGTCCCCACTCAAAATTCTCATCGAGTGTTTTACTCGGGAGTCTTGTTGTTTTAAATTTAACATGAATAAAACAAAGTTCTTGATTTTCTTCCTCATAACCACTTCTCCCTGCTCAATTTTCTATTTCTGTAATGGTTTAATCACACTGAAAGCTTGAAATACTGAAGAACTTAACTCCTTCCTTTCCTTCTGTCATTCCTTCTGCCACAGAGCCTACATTTTAAAATTTTTCATTAATTCATTTATTGAATCAGCAAATCTTTACTCAGTACTTACTAAGTGCCAGATCCTATTCTATATACTAGGGGCATGGCAGTGAATAAGATGGATAAAGTGAACAAATGTCTTCTATTCTACATCCTTCATGATCACTTCACACTTGAACTATTACAGTCATCTCTTATCTTCCTGCTTAGTTTTCACACCTCCCAATCTATCATACATATTATCACCATACTAACTTTCCTTAACAATAAATGACCATGGCACTCATCTGCTTAAAACTTTTTGGTGACTATTACCTATTCAATAAAAATCAAACTCTGTAGATTGACAGTCAAACACTTCAGCCATTTGGCCCCAATCTTTGCATGGATATAAAGATATAAAGCCAATACAATAGATAAAATAAAATAAAAGTTCAAAAGGATCTTTTGATACTAAATCTTATAAAATGAAATATAAAGTGATAAAACCCAGTATTTAGTTTCCTTCTCTTCAGCTTAAAAGGAATTGCCCTTGTTACAGTCTGTGTGATGACTATCCTATGCTGCCTTGTGATATATTTCTGTACTGCATCACTATGTACCTCCTGAACTTGAAATTTTTCATGTGTGACTTTTTCCTCATGAAACTATTTTCTAAATCCCTAAGACTTTCTCCTAGTTCCTTTATAGCAGTGTGTAGCACTCAGTACTTCGTGACCAACTGGGTGCCCTCCTATGGTCCAGATACCCATGCATACTCCCAGAAAAGGGCCTGATAGACATAACAGATAGGTCTAATCTGAACCAGAAATAAAGCCACTCTTAATCAGAATTACCAAGTAAAAGGGCAGAGAAAGTTACTGACTTATTTTTCTCTACCCTTAGAAACTGCATTTTTATCCTCTAGTGTTGGAAATCTGAAAGAGTAAATAAAATTCACACGTGACAGTCAATGCTTTCCTTATCTCATTAGCCACTGAATCAGTGATGTCACATTCTACCCCACCACCCCCATTCTTAGCCATTTGGGAAATGTTATATAGAAAAAGATTTG